GATCTGTATCCTGCTCCAGAGGAGGATCAAGAAAGGTGGATCTGAGCCTGATCCACCTCATAACGGTTAGTGTTCCCACTACACACAATTGCCGGATCTGATCCACCAACTGGGGGATCTGATCCGGCAATTTGGCAAAAGGTGGATCAGATCCCCCAATGGGTGGATCAAGCGGGAACGGGCTGTAAGTCGATGGATACAGTGAACATACAGTTTTGCTATGATGTCCACAAATCTTGCCGTCCACCATTGGTAACTGTTGCACAGCATACAAATACCTGTGCTAGTACTTGTTAAGATACATACAAATGGACATGTACATGGTAGGTAGAATACAGTAAATTACACATGTAGGCTGAATTAGGTAAATTGTTGTTTTGAAGACTGCTCCCCTTATAAGGATCAGAAGCCATAATGTAGTGTCAGTCAGTGTATCAGACCCGAACAGACTGAGATTTTTTTACATTACCGGAACCGGTACGTATGTATGTGATATTGAAGTTGAAACTAACATCCCTTTCCTGTTGCCTTCTCACCTTCTCACCTTGCCCTTTTTCCAGTTAAGGTGTGTAATTTGACGCCGGGATATTTTCACTGGGAAAATCTGGCCAGTCCCTCTTACCGAGAACTCTCGGGTCACCAGGACACTTGCTACAATCCTGTCGGAAATCACCAGATCCTCCTTGGGTTGACCAGTGGTGGGATTGGCCCTGGCAAGAACCTCACTGGACTTCCTCGGCGTGTTTCCTCTCTTGTAGGTCAAGGCGTTGGGCAGTTGACAGGATGCAAGACTCTAGCTGGGCTTCCAAACAATTTACATGTAACCCCCAATTACAGTCACATCTGTCACCCAAATGACCTGCCTGTGTGCCCCTATATTTGGCACCTCTCCTAGTACCTGTATCTCCAGTCAGGTGCCAGAATGAAAACATGCAATTCACCACCACTCCTGATTCCATAACATTGGCAACAGATTTTTTTGAAAGCTCAGACATCCTCCTAAGAATCCATTTCGATAGGAGGTGACAAGTTACTGAAAACAAGAGACAACTTGGGGCCAGAACCGAATGGATAAAACGAAGACAGGAAAAATTTTTGTTGAGTCTAATGTTAAACAGCTTTCCACCAGTGCTGTGGAAAGTAGTTGACCCCCCCTTTTTGCAGTCTGTGAATTTACCACATACATGTACATGTATGTATCCCACTGCTTTCCTGACTTAACCAAGGTGTATGGTAAAATGCCAATGATAGATAATTTCATTGGATCTAACAATTGGCGTCAAATATCAAGATTTATTGCCCATACCACTGACGTTAAGGATGCCATTCAGTCATATTGTTGTCTTCCATTATTCTGTATCTGCAA